TTTTAAATTTAAATTTAATTAAAATCCTAATTTCTATAAAATTATTATTAAAGATGTAGTCAATGGGTGAAACTAACACAAAATAATACAATTATTAATAGTTTTGAACAAAAGGGACTGGACTCAGTAAAATACAAGGTGATATGTTCAACACACTTTACAAATCAAGACTATTCAATTTGGAACGATGTTGGAAATAGAATGTCTGTATATTATACCTAGTTATTTTAAGATAATTGTATTTTATGTCCTTATTAGACAATTATTAACAAGATTCAAATCAATAATTATTAATTATGCAGGCTATTGTATAAAGGTGCGATTCCGTCATTAAATCTACCTACTTCTGTTTATTGTAACAAGACTGTGTTGGATAAGCAGGATACAACATCAATTTGGCGTCCAAATGTTTTGAGTCCGTTATTAAAGAAAATACTGAATAACACAAATCGTAATTAACAAGGCATCTTTAATGTCCTTAAAAAAATATTATTAACAAATCAACAAAACAATCTTCTTTTCAGGTGATGGTAGACCGTTTAGTCAACAACCAAAAGTATTAAGTCCAAAAGTTAATAAAATGTTATGCAACATTTATGAAAATTTTGGTGATTACTTAAAAATTAAATATAACTGTTTAAAACATTTTAAATTAACAAATAATAATAATTTTTTAATCTTTTAACTTCAGATAAAAGTTTACAGCAACCTGAAGATACTTCCTGTAGTTTAATATCCAAGTCTTCAATTAGTCTAACAATTGACTCTGAAAATAATATGATCAATGATGAAGATCTTGGCGGTAAATTTAATTAACTCTACTCTAGTTGAATATTTAAAAAAATTACTATTTTAACTAATTTGTTATTTTACATTTTAGTGTCCAATTTAGTCAATGAGAACATACCATATAGTGAATTAGTTCAACCTTCAAATGTTAAGGATGAAACAAGTAAATCATCTACTATTAAATACTTTTATGTTTTAGTATATGAAGCTTTGTGCTTTTATTAGAATGATAACTTCTAGATCTAGCTTAATACTCACTTTCTACTGTAACCCAAAACTACCATTTTGCCTAGTTTGCCCAGTTACCTATCCACTTGCCCGCCAAAGACTCCACAAGCATATTTCCTGTTCCTGAAATTAATGATGAGTAACTTCACGCCGCGCATTACGCTTTATATAACTGATTTTTAAGTGAATTGTCTAAGCTTTATTAATTATTATATTTTATTTTATTTTTTTACATCTATTTAATTCTCGTTTCATATAACACTGACAAAATGCCTACATTGTCTCTGAAGTACTATTTATACACATTGATATTCATTCAATTAGTAATTTAGGTAAGTAACAACGATTATTTATTAATTAAAAATAATTAACTTGTTTATTTTATTTTGTATGCGTTTGAAAATTGTACATCAATATCATTTACATATCAATGAATCATGAGATAAACCTAACACAAACGGATAAATGGATCAGAATGTATACAAACACTGCATTTCTTATGACATAACAAATTAAATTGAAGACTCAAATTACTATGAAATATGAAATATGAATACATTGTGTAATGGCTGTAACAGTTTTAATGATATTTTAATAAAGTACAATACTTCTTTGATTAATAGATTTATTTAATTCTTAATTTTTATGTTCCTTTGAGCAGAGATAGCCAATATGTACAAGGTATAGTAAATTTCCTAAATTTGTATTATTTAACATACATAGTTACTGAATACCTACACTTTAAGGTGTAATTTAAATACAACAGAAACATTATATAGAAAGAGTAATATGATATTATAGCTGGTGTTGTTAACCTTTTTTACTCAAAATAATTTTATCCCTATATTTATATTGTTGCTATTAATTATGAAGATACTAGTAAGGACTTTGCTTTATTGAATTTATATATAATTATGTTTATTGATTTCATATTTTCCAATTTTTCGTGTCAGTTGATGTTAGATTAAGAAAAAAATAATAACATTATTGTACCCAAGAAAGTAAATTTTAAGAATCTTTAGGTAGATAGAACTCATTATTTTAAGAGTGTCAATTCTTTTAAATACATATTCCTGTATTTTCAATAATGTCTAGCATACTAACAGAATATTTTATTTGACAATGTTTAGATTATCGCTTACGTGTCCATCATAATACTCAATTATGTGACCAGGAAAATAAGAGATTAAGATTAAAAATTAGAACAATGCAAAAGTTAATAAATAAAAAGAACACTAGGATACAGTCGTTAAAAAAAAAGAATCTTAACAAATTACAAATGAATAAGAATTTATTACAAACTACATTGAACAATAATTTTATTTTAAAAAACCAGTTAAAACTAGCTAATATAAACAAATATGGTCGCAGATATAAGGAAAACCAAAAATCATTTGCACTTGCATTATATTATAATTACCCTAAGGCATATAATTTCATGCGCAAGTATTTATGTCTTCCAACAGTGAGATCACTTAGAAATTGGCTACAATCGATAGATGTTTCTTGTGGGGTAAACTCAAATGTTCTTGATGTTTTAAAAATAAAGTTTAAGGATGTTCCACCAAGTGAAAAGCTGATATAAATTATAATGGATGAGATGTCACTAAAAAAATTGATTTCTTATAACTCTCAAAATGATCAATTTAGTGGTTATGAAGACTTTGGTATAGATCATGAGTTTGTTGATATGAAAATGAATCGCATCTGTGACCAAGCATTAGTTGTTATGATTAAAGGTATAGTTAAACCTTGGAAACAAATACTAGGATATTTTTTTTCTAAAGGACCAGTATCTGGCTTTAGACTTAAAAACATTATGACTGATGTTATTAATAAAGTTGAAGATGCTGGTTTTATTCCAAAAGTTATTATATGTGACCAAGGTACCAATAATATTGGTATGAGAAATTTATTTGGAGCCACACAAACACAACCATTCATCAACATCAATGATGAAAACATTTATTTCTTTCATGACAGTCCTCATTTAATTAAATCAGTGAGAAATAATCTAAAAAAATACAATTTCAGTTATGAAAATGATTCTTGTAGTTGGTCAGATTTAGCAGATTTTTATAATTTAGACAAAAACAAAAAGCCAAGGTTAGCTCCTCGATTAAATAAAATTCACATGGATCTACCACCATTCTCACCAATGCGTGTTTGTTTGGCAACCCAAACATTAAGCCATTCTGTTAGTTCTGGTATGATGACTTTAATTTCACTGAATGAAATGAAAAGTTCAGCTATACATACAGCAAGATTTATAGAATTCTTTGATAATTTATTTGATGTTTTTAACAGTATAACACACAGTGAGGCAAAAACATTAAGAAAGCCATTAACTAAAACTTCTGATCATTGGAATTTTTTGAATGAAGCAGAACAGGTATTAGGAAAACTTAAAGTTCACAATAGAACTGGTAAATTACCACCATGTATAGAAGGTTGGAAAGAAAATATTATTGCCTTGAAATTGTTATTTAACGAATTAAATGAAAAATATAAAATAGATTTCTTACTAACAAGAAGACTAACACAAGACTGTGTAGAAAATGTGTTCTCAGTAGTAAGGTCAAAAGGAGGTAATAATGTCACACCTGACGCCACAAAATTTCATTCAGCAATCCGTATGTGTATGTGCAATACTTTATTAGAACCCTCCAAAAGTGGAAATTGTGAATCTGAATGTGATGCAGTTCAATTTTTGACTAAATGCAGTGAGCTAAAAAAAATTAAAATACAGCTAAAATTAATAGGTGATCCAAATGATGATGAATATTCTGATAAAGAAGATTTTCTTAATTCACATTTATCTTCAATGAATATTGAAAATATATTAATGGAGAATCATGAGGCTTGTGCGATAGGCTATGTAGCAGGATGGGTGTGTAGCAAATTGATTCATCAAGAATGTGTTGATAAGCTAGCTGCCAAAAGTGGGGATAATTTTCAAGTCAACTTGGAAAATACACACATAGAAATGAAATCGTATCAAAATGCCAATTTATTATATCCATTTAAAAACACACTGGAATTTGCAAAAAAAGTTACGTGTATATTTAATTTAAATATAGAGTCACTTTTGTTAAAAAATAAAACCGGTGTTCGAAAAGAAATAATAAAAATTGTTGATATTGTTTGTAAGCCATTAAATATATGTGATGCATGTAAGACAGAATTCTTAAAAAAATTGTTAAATGTATTAATTAATAGTTTCATAAAAAATAGTAATAACAACATTGATGTCTTCAAAATGCATTAAAAAAATAAAAAATTAAAAAAAATTGTTCATTTGTAAATCATTATAATGTATATTAATCAAATTGCAAAATTTATATTCTTTAATTTTACCTATATTGTATTATATTATACACCTAGTTATTAATTTTACATATTATATCATAAATATAAAAATATTGTTCATACATATTTTATAAAGTTCTCATACCTAAGTTTTATTTCTTTTATTATTTTGTATTTGTACATTGTACATATTATGACTTGTAATGATGGTATACACTATTGTAAATATATAGTAGGTACCTACATTTTTTATATTGTTTTAATAATATTTTGTATTAATCTTTATGTAACACATTTCTCACTGTACATATTTTTTAGTATAATCAATATCTTGTGATAATAATATAATTATTTTTTCACAACTATCGGTATCATTAAAATGTTTAAAACTTAGGACCTGTATAACCGTGTAGAACTGTATCAAATTATTGTAAAAACAATAAGCTAACCATCAAGTATTACTCTATGAAATAAACCTAGTTTTAGTAATCCAGTGTCCATAATCCATACAGCCATACACTTGACACAGGTAAACGGTAATGATGTATTGCACGTTTTATTATAAACTATGTATATATTTATATATTTAAACACTAATAACACAATAATATTAAGTACCTAAAGGCTAATGAACTATTGGACTTAATTAAAAAATGAGAAAAAAGCCAAGTAGTTGTTATTTTGTATTTGTACTAATAACTTATCAGTTAATAGTTATCAGTGTCTAAAAAAGAAAAATTAAGGGGCTTATATAGGCAACCTACTATAATATGGAGCGCTACAGTGTCCCCTAGAAAATCTAAGAGCTTCCCGTATTCTAATCTATAGTATTTGATCGTGGTCATTACGTCTTGTATCCTTATTTTTATTATCAAAAACTAGCGTTTTCGATTGTTATCATATGATGATAAAAAATAAAATAATTGTATGTTGTTATCAGATAATATATGCCAATTCGTTGATTTGTGTTTTTCCGAGCTCACCGTTTCGGGAAAACACCAGATAACGATGATGAAGGCATGAATAAGGTTTGATGATCGAAGTTATACGTTGAGATTTTGAAATCTGATCGACATCAAACGCGTTACACTATGAATCGGACACTGAGCCGTCTAGCTTTCGTCGGACGGTCGTTCGCAAACGATATTGGACGGCGGAATGCGTTCGCTCAGTTCTGGCCGGCGTTCGCGTCTTCTTCTTCAGCACTTCGCACTCACGTGAACGTGGAAAATCACAACGCTCATAGCGCGATGGTCAACGATCCTGGGTACCGTGCCACTGTCGTTAATCCGGCCTCGCGCGCCATCAACTGGCCAACAGCGATTACCGCTCAGCAGTTCCACGCGCTCATCAGCCAGGACTTTAGTGTTAGGACGGCTGACGAGGTATGCAATGACTTTACAGCAATCAGCTCATACGCTATGGGCAAAAACTACCGGCTCACTGATGCCGAGTACGATGGGGTCCGAGACCGCCTAGTTACCACCCTGTCACAAATGACTGACCTGCAGCTGCTATCCGTGTTTTCTCTCATACCACTGTGGGATACCAAAGATGCCAAGGATCCTGCCTACCACCGTCTGTGGTCTGAGTTTGACCGGCAGTGTATTGACAGGCACAGGCGTTGGACGCTTAACAAGCTTTTACTATTCATGGACCACTGGTACTTGATGAGGCTGTCTAGATTGAGCAATTTTGTTTGGATAGGTGTCAGGAAGCTAGCGCGGAAGCCTTCGAGGTAAATACATTGATAAACAATTTGGTACTCTCAAATTAAATTTTTTCCATTTGTTAATATTTTACATGTTTATCATAGTGGTATATTTATAATAATACAATATATTACCAACAGACCACCAGGTACCTATATCAAGCTTGAAGATAACATTTAATGAACATTAGGTATAAATAATTGTGCATCTACCTATATTTTCTATCAATTTCCTTAGGTACATGAATATTTGTATAATACATATTTGGTGAAATTAAGTATACCCATGTTATATTCATTCACTAAAACTTAATATAACATTACTAAACATGAAAATCTTAAAATGTATTAAAAATACCATTCAATATTAAGACATATTTTTGTGAACTTATTTTTATAAATTGAATGTTTGAAATGTTTCTATTAAGCTAAAATTTTGTAATATGTACTATTATCTATTTCCTTTTTAGTTGTGCAGACCATCAATTATGTAAATAAAATTTTGAGGCCCACTTAATTAATTTATAGATACCAAATATAAATACACCCAACAATGATGATAGAATCAATATAAATTTGTATAAAATCATATAAAAATTGGCTTAGCTTAGACGCAGCCCAGTACCACATTGCACGTGGCCTACAAATTGGTCCTGATGCACTGTCCTAAGATTTCATTTATGAATTAGTTGGAGAGACATTTCAGTTTAGATTTACTGTAATTTAAACTTTGCTGTAAATAGTTAATATAGATGGAAATAGATTAATATATTATTATTAAATATAAAATATTTTTTATGTTTTTCGTTTAATTAGGTCCCTATGATTAGATTTCATCATTACATAAACTATGATTACATAAACTTAATTGAAACTACTCACAATCAATAGTCGTACATTTTACAATTTTGAACATTAATTATTTGCTGTATTTTTATAACTTGGAATTAAAAAAATAAACGTTTCTTTTAGTACTCTATGTGCATGGTTTAATTCATAAAAAATGTAAACATTGAAAGGTTGGTGGGAAAAAAACTAAACATTACAATTTTTTTGAAATATTAATTTAAAAATAATAAATTTTGTTTATTTCAGGTTGACTCCCAAGCAATTAGTTCAGATGATGTTTTATGCTAACACAAGTAGAAAGTTTTTACCAACATTACCAATGTATGATATTGAACAAGAAATATGTTCTTATTACAATGACTTTAATATTAAAGAGTTGGGGATAGTGTCTTTAGGATTCTTTAAAACTCAAACACCAATACGTAATCGAGAACTAGTAAAAAATCTTTACAACTCTGTCATCAAAGAAATTTCAAACATTAACAGCATAGAGTTGGCTGCATTTTTAAAGGTACATTAAATGTATTTAATGAATATATATGTATATAATATTATAAAGGTTATATAAACCAAATAAACAAATGTTTCATAAATAAAATTATTTTTTGAAAAAAATATATGAAAAATTAAATTATACCATTTAAAATTGATAATCCTTTTATGTCCAAATATTTTTTTCTTTAAATCTGTTAACCCATAAATTGTTTCCAAGTATTAATTTTAAAAACAACAGTTTACTGAAAATATGCAAACTTAAAATATTTCTATTTTAGATAGGGAATGTCTTCAATCCGAATTTTATCCCACTTATTTTTAATTCAGAATGAAATTCTTCAATTTGCAAAATCAATAAATTGTTATCCTTTTTGTTATCATAAACATCATGTCTCTTCTTAATTTTTATTTTTATTTAGATATTTAGATATTGCTCTAAGCACCAGCATGCTGATTATATGTACAAATTAATGGATGCTTTAATAAATAGAGTTGATGAAGTAAAATTAGTGTGCTGTGTCCATATGGCTCTATTGGGTACAAATTTATTGATTAAACATGAAAATCTTTTGAAAAAAATATCACAGCGCATAGTTGATGAAATATCTCTAGCAAGAATTAAGGTGATAACATTTTTTTTTTTCAGATTTTATCTATATAATTTAATTTAATAGAATTTTGTTTTTTTAGGATTTAGAAAGAATAACTTTGGCTTTAACTATGTTTAATTATAATCCACAAACAACTCCATGTATATTCAAAATGGTTGTTAATGAACTTCAGAGTGATACAAGAAATGTTGAATTTGAAGAACACACTAGATGTTACATTTATACTTTGTCATACTTAGCTGTAAATAATATTTATCCTAAAGATTGTATTTCAAAAGCTTTAAAAATTGAAACACTTCATAAATGTTTTGGTAAGTTACAAAAAAATAAAAGATAGTACTCATACATAATATATAGTGTGTAATTGAGTAGTTGGCAATAAGTTTTAAATTGTTATTAAAAATGGCAATTACTTCAGATACACTATGTTATGTTAGTTTATAATGTTAATAATACATTTAATTAAAAAGTATTGAAAAACAATGAATCATTTATATATTTTTTATAAAGATGAGTTCTACTTTAACTATGATAGCTCAACAAAAAAAATTTAACCGTATGATTAAAAACTCACCAAGACAAAGTCTGCATGTACTCTTTCTTGATTTTTGGGAAATTATAATCTATAATATGTACATATGTACATAGGTGCATATTATAGTATACATTAGAAAATTTTTATTACAATAGTGCAAAATTGCACTTTTGGAAGTGCTGAAAATAGACAATTTTCTGAACCATTTTTTTCAAGTATACAAAATTATATACAAAATTATTGTGGTTCTTTTCTGAAATTTTAACAATTTTTTAATTCATAAGTATTTCTATTGTTATGGGACTTGCCTTGTAGTTTGTAGAAAAGTTTTAAACAAATGTTCACATTTTGTACTTATTTATTTTCTGTAAGTATGTGTGTGTGTGTGTGTCCCTGTTTTTCTGTTATACAACTTGAAAGGTCTGTAGCAAATGAAACTCTTCGTTGCACTTCTTCTAGCCTTCGTAATTCTAACAAGACCCTAAACAACAAAATATGTTCTCCAGTTTAAGAAGAATGTAGCTACAATTAACTATTTGTTGTTTTTATATTTCATATTTTCAAATTTTGAATCTAATTTATATGCTCTTTAATGAGCTAACTACCAATTTTCTAGTGATCATAGTTTAAGAGAAAAGTTAAAAAATAGAGTTTTCAGTGCTGAACACCAACGTTTTTCTGGATTTTAATCATTATACTATTTGAGAATGATAATGGATGTACCTCATTAATATAACGTATATTATAGGTAACTTAATCATTATGACTGAGTTACATTATTTTTAATTGCATTGTGTGAGTTATTTATATCATTGATCGTATTGAGTATAAGTAAAAGTACACCTGTATCAGTTAAAATTAAATATTAACAAAACTTTTAGCAACCAACAAACTAAAATTACTAATTGCTAGCAATAATTCATGCATATTATGTAAGTTATAAGTATTACCACACCAGTACCCCTGATGTAAAGAACACCGTGTCGTAAAATAGTAATTTTATGGGAAGTCAAATTTTCGATTATCTTTACTTCTAAAGAAAATGAGCATGGTTTTATTTCCATCTCCTTATTTCTGTTACTTTTGATGACTGGACATAGTGTCTTATACCTTTATATAGAGCCAAAAATGTACATCAAGGGCATGAAGCTAACTACGTTTCTTCAAAAACGGACATGGTGTTCTTTACCTTCAGGGTACAGGTATTGAGTTTTGTTTAACTCAATATCAATAAAGTAATATTACTATTTTATCATTTTAATATTACTTATATAGTTATTTTGTTAACTACCTTTAATAAAATATATAAAATAATGTGATACATTTTCAGGAAAACGATTATCCAGATTTAATATAACACGTGATATTGTTAGTTTAAACAATAGTGTGCTAGTAGAATGCCCTGACTATTCTGGTTCACTATTACCAGATACATTAAAAGAATCATGCAATGAAGTATGTAAATTATATTTATTCTTACAATTTTAAAAGTGTAATTTATTTATTTTAACAATTCGTTGTTAAAAAATAATAATTTGATGTAAAAATATTCAAGTGTATAATTAAATAAACACATATACTTATTATATTATAAATTTAAATTATCTTTCTGAACAGTGTTTTTGTAAACTAAAGGTAGTTTTAAAATAAAATTTTATTTATATTTTTGTTCAGGCACTGAAAATATTAAAAAAACTTACTCTTATAGAACAACATACATGGATTGAAATTTTAGAAAAGACTTAACATTTCTTTCATACAATAATTGTTAATAAATAAAAAAATATGACTTTAACTGGGCCAATTTTTTTATGAAAAATAAAGTTATTACCT